GGGGGCCACACCCTCTGCCTTCCTGGCCAGTGGTTGTGTGTCCCCTGAATGCCCAGCACAGGGCCAGCAGGGGGCAGCCTGGAGACGGTACCTGGTCTGGCTGGAGAGAATAGACAGACCCGTGGGCAGCGCAGACACCAACCCCGCGGCCTTGCCCTGGGCCAGCCTCCCATCCTCAGCCAGGGTGGGGCCGGCTTACCGCCATCCCAGGCAGAAGAGATTATGCACCTAGTTCAGTTGGGGAAACCGAGGCACAGGGATTGTCAGGGACCTGCCAGTGTAGCACAGCTCATTGGGCCAAACCATGGGGAGCACAGGCTCCCTCCCGCCCAGGCGGGGCTGTCTCTGCAGCGCTTGCTCCTGCCGCCCCCTGGGTTTCCTGCTCCAGCTGCCCCTGACTCCACCCCAGCAGCCCCAGGTCAGGGGTCTGGGTCCTGGTGAGAGGCCCCTGCCCCTGCCATGCAGCCCCTGCTGCTACTGCCACTGCCCTGGCCTCCAATCTCCCCGAGGCCCCATCGGCCCCAGCCCCTCCAGTCAGTCAGGCCTGGGCCTCTGTGGACCACCCAGCTCGTCCTCAAGATAGGCCCCCACCCTGTGCCTGGGCCATTGATCAGGAATGGCTGGGGGCTCCCAGCCGGGGAAGGGAGGGAGCCAGGAGGGGGACCGGTAGGGGGAGAGGGAGGCTTTGCCACGTCAGAGCCTCCCCACCTGCCCTCCTCCCACATGCGCCGCCCAGGGCAGGACCAGCCTGGCAGTGGCCTGAGACAGAGCAGCGTGAGGTGGCGTGGAGAAAGGGGCCTGCACAGCCCACCGCCGGGTCCCACCTGCAGAGACCAGGTGTAAAACCAAGACCGGGCGACCGAGGAGGGAAGGACAGTCCTGCCAGGAGACCGAGGACGGAGTGAGCACCTGAGAGCCGGGCTGTGCGCCGAATGAGCCAGGAGACCAGGAGTGGCTGACCACCCCCGCCCCACCCCGCCCCCCGGCCGGCAGTGCCCAGACTGAGCAGGGCTGCTCCTGGACATCCGGGCCGTCCGCATGGCAGGTACAGTGTGGGCACCCCAGGCCGCCCCGGGGTGGGTTCAGGCTCCGGAGTGAGTGGGGCAGAGCAGGGAAACCCCACTGGACCCAGGCCCGGGCAAGAGGGAGAGGCAGGGGCACCCAGGCTGTCAGGGCAGGGCTGGTGGACTCCCAGACATCCAGGTGCAGTTATGGGGTGCCGACAGGCAGGGGACAGAGTTGCTTCTGGGAGGTGAACACCTTATCAGGCATGGGTGACCTTGGGCCTGTCCCCTCCCCTCTCTGGGCCTCACCCCCTGAGCATCAAGGTGAGGGCTAGACAAGAAGCACCTAACTTCCTCCCTAGACGGACTCGATGCCTGTGGGAAATGGGCATCTCCGACCTGAGCGGTGCTGGTTTTAGGGGAACTGGGCCGAGGACAGGCCCCTCCCGGTTTCTGAGGGCACTGAAGGGCAGGGCATTGGCTGGGATGGGCAGGGGGCTCAGGGAAGACTTGGGAGCCAGTGACCAGCTGGGAAGCCCCTGGGCCCAGCAAAGCCATGAGTTTCTACCCTTGGGACCCACCACCGTGGACGCTGGGGGCTGGCATCATACCTGGATGTCATTCCTGCAGCTGCCCACCTAACGGCCTGGTCCCAGATGGTGGGGGCCATCTGTCTATCCACCTGTCACGCCCACTGGGGTAGGCAGACCGGACATCCCACCCCACCCACCCCCAGCCCCCAGGAACACCGGGGGCTTTAGCAAGATGCCCCTTCTCCAATGTGGTCCCGGGCCCCCACTCTTACCAGGTGCCGCCTCAGTGCCAGCTCTGGCCAGTTTGGCTCTTTAGACGCTCCCTCCACCCACCTATCTGTCTGTCTGTCCATCCATCTGACACCGAGATTCTACCTCTGCCCAGGGGGTCCCATGGTGTTACCAGATCCCCGGCCCCTCCTGGGGCTGCTAGTAACTAATCACTTGTGTTTCAGGATTTTTTTTTCTATTTTAAAATGTTTAATTGTGTAAAATGTACATAACATTAAAATTACCATTTAAAAATGCACAGTTTAGGGGCATGACGCACATTCACGCTGCTGTGCCGCCGTCACCACCATCAGCTCCAGGACGCTTTGCATCTCGTAACACTGAAACGCTGTCCCCTTTAAACACGAACTTCCCCTCCCCTCCCCAGCTCCTGGCACCCACCGTCCTACTTTCTGTTTACGGATTTGACAGCTCTAGGGACTTCCTGTAAGTGGAATCGTACAGTATTTGTCCTTCTGTTTGGCTTATTTCACTCAGCATATGTCCTCAATTTCCTTCATTTTTAAAATATCTATCTATATATATATTTATTTCAGAGAGGATGGGAGAGAGAGAGAAAGAGATAGAAACATCAGTGATGAGAGAGAATCATCAATCAGCTGCCTCCCGCACACCCCACACTGGGGATCGGGCCTGCAACCCAGGCATATACTCTGCCTGGGAATCAAACCGTGACCTCCTGGTTCATAGGTCCACCCTCAACCACTGCGCCACGCCGGCCGGGCAGAATTTCCGTCTTTTTAGGGCTGAAGAATAGTGAGTAATGTCTGGATAGACCACATTTTGCTTATCCATTCATGGGCACTTGGGTTGCTTCCACCACTCCTATTGTGAACAATGCTGCCGCGAGCACTGATGTACAGATAAGTGTTCGGGTCGCTGCTCAGTTCTGTTGGGTATTTGCCTAGGAGTAAGGTTGTTGCATAGTGTGGTAACCCCAAGTTTAGTTTTTGGGGAACCACCATTCTGTTCCCACAGCGACTGCACCGTTTTACAGGCCCCCCAGCAGTGCACAGGGTTCCAATTGCTCCACATCCTCACCAATGCATCATTTTCTGTGTTGTTATTGTTTTGATAATCACCATCCTCGTGGGTGTAAAGTAGTATCTCATTGTAGTTAGGATTGTTTTTTTTTTTTAACCAGAAGGGTGGAGAGGGACAAAGTGTGGGGCGCCGCTACAGTGTTTGGACAGGTTCAAGCC